CCTCTGCATTCCAGTCTGGGTGACAGAATGAGACTCCAATTCAAAAAAAAAAAAAAAAAAAAAAATTAGCCGGGCATGGTAGCATGTGCCTATAGTTCCAGCTAGGGAAGGCTGAGGGAGAAGGATCGCCGGAGCCCAGCAGGTCGAGGCTGCTGTGGTCGGGAGCGGACACTGCACTCCAGTCTGGACGACAGAGTGAGACTCCAACTCAAAAAAAATAAAAAATAAATAAATGGAGTGAGCCTGTTACTTCAAGAAAAGCAATTTATATTATTTGTTGACAATCACCAAATTTGAATTTTCAAGCAAAAATCAGTTTTAGAAAATCTTATCTGCCACTGTAAGTCTAGCCGCTTCCCAATACGTAAAGCTGGTTCAGATTAGATTGTGACATTAATGTCAACTTTTTTTTTTGAGTTGGAGTCTCACTCTGTCGCCCAGTCTGGAGGGCAGTGGCACGCTCCCGGCCACCGCAGCCTCGACCTGCTTGGCTCCAGCGATCCTTCCGCCTCAGGCTTCCGAGTAGCTGGAAGTACAGGCGCGCGCTATCAAGCCTGGCTAATTTTTTGACTTATTGTAGAAATGAGGTCTCGCCAAGTTTCCCAGGCAGGTCTCGAACCCGCGGGCTCAGGTAATCCACTCACCTCAGCCTCCTAAAGCACGGGATTACAGGCTGAGCCGCTGAGCCACCTGAGCCCGGCTAATTTTGTTTTTTGATAGAGAAGGGGTCTCGAACTCTGAGCTCATGTACCTCTCACCTCCACCTCCCAAAGTGCTGGGATTACAGGTATCAGCCACTAAATCCAGCTGTTAAGCAGTTTTTCATCAAAGTATACTGTTTCAAACCAAGGCATCTCTTTCCGGCTACATTATTCAAACATTTGAGTAACCTGACACAATAAAATACTGGCGCTTTTAAGGAAACTCTCCTAGGATGTTTACCAAAATTTTTTTGATCTTCAAACTTGCTAAAACTTTGTATATTCGGGTGGGACGTCCATAAAAACACTAGAAAACTTGTAAATATTCAATGAGTTATGGGAAGGGTGGAAAAATAAATGATTCCAAGCAGCAGGCCTCAAACCTCAGCAGGATGAAAAGCACAAACTTGTACCTTAAAACTACCTTACTTATTACACATAAGACTTTTTGAAGCTGTGAAAAGATACGCCACGCCACTTACAGAGTCATGGGTGAGGTACGTATCACAGTAGTCACAATAAAACCTGAAAAGAGGTGAAAGAGAAAATTAAATGACAACCACTTAATAGATGCGCAAGCAACGGAAGCGCTGTTCATCGCAAGAAAAAACAAATGGGACCACTCAAGACTCAAAAGCAGCAAACAAAGCGTCTAGATATAAACCAGGCATGTTTCGTCGCCTTGAGCGGGATGGATCTCCACTCTCAAAGGGGCGTCTGAAGCTCCCGGTCTCCCTCCCCACAACATCCTCTCCTGTCCCTGGAAGCTTCCAAATCCAGAAGCCGCTCTCCGCTCCCTCACCCGGCCACAACTAACGACTGCGACCACCCTCAGACTTCAGGGTCCCCACTCACTTAGGCATGCTGCTGCGCAGGCCGTTGGCCACTCCACTCCGCGACGCCCGGAAAGGACGCACATAGCAAGCGCCCACGACGCAAAACCGATGACGTCACCGGCGCGCCGATTTCAGAGCCCTCGCCGCCGAAAACCATGAGAGGGGCGGGACTTCCCGTCTCCTCCCTTCGCCTATAGAAAACCGACCAAAAAAAAAAAAAAGAGGACTAAGGGTCCCTACGAGGTTCAATCCACGTTCATTGAATCTTGATTCTCACCGGCGCGGTGCGTTACGCCTGTAATCCCGGCACTTTGGGAGACTGAGGTGAGAGAATTGCCTGAGGTTACATGTTCGAGACCAGCCTAGGCAACTTGGCAAGACCTCATCTCTACAATACATCAAAAAAAATTTAGCCGGGCGTGGTGGTTCTCACCTGTAGTTCCAACTACTTGGAAAGCTGAGGCAAAAGGATCGCCGGAGCCCAGCAGGTCGACGCTGAGTGGGCGTGAGCGTGGCACTGCACTCCAGCCTGGGCGACAGAGTGAGACTCCGACTTAAAAAACAAAACAAAACAAAAAGATTAGCCGGGAGTGGTAGTGCTCGTCTGTAATTCCGGCTACTTGGAAGGCTGAGGCGGAAGGATCGCTGGAGCCCAGCAGGTCGAGGCTGCGGTGGCCGGGAGCGGCCACTGCCCTCCAGCCCGGGCGACCGAGTGAGACTCTGACTCCAAAAAAGAAAGAAAGAAAAAATTAGCCAGGCGTCGTGGTGCCCGCCTGAAATTTTAGTTACTCGGAAGGCTAAGGCAGAAGGATCACCTGAGCCCAGCAGGTTAGGCTGAGGTGGCCATGAGCATGCCATTGCACTCCAGCTTGGGCAACAGAGTGAGACTCCTATTCAGAAAGAAAGAAAGACCTCATCTCTACCATTAAGCAAATACATTTTTTTAAATAATTGTTTTAGTTGCATGTGATAAAACCCTACTTAAACTAGCTTTGGCCGATTGGCAATATGGAGACTCACAAAGCTGGGACACCTGAAGGTAGATTTAGCCTATTATGGCTGACCTAGAGTCTCAAATAATATCCCGGTCTCTTTCTTCTGCCATCTCTCATCTCAGCTCAACTGCTTCTCTTCGCAGGTTGGCCTCACACTGCCACCTGGCAGGTGAGACAGCTTCATGTATCTCCAAGCTTTCATTCTTCCAGCACATCCTGCCAAAAGCCGAGGAAGGACCTGATTGGCCAGGCTTAGGTCAGGAGTCCTCCCTAGTTGGGGACAAGTGAAAAATTGTGGCTGACAGTCCCACTTAATCCTCAGGGAGTGAAAGAGTATCCAAAACTTTAGGAAGTACTGTTGTCAAAGAAGTACAGATGAGCATCCTGGGCCATAAGTGGTATGTACAGCTGTGACCATTGGTCATACCTTACCCAGTTTGCAAAACCCAATTCAAAGGAGATGCCAGTTTAAGGTGGTCCTTTCCATTGTCACTACCAGAGGACTTGGGTCCTTTGTTCCATAATAACCTATACCTTTCCTCAACCCTCCCATATCTTTCCCCAATGCCAAGACACAGAGAGTAATACTCAGTTATTCAATATTTATTCAACAGACATTTACTTGGTTTTCAGGTCTATGTTGGCCACTGTCAACAGGAAAATGAAGGCCAGACATGGTGGCTCAGGTCTGTAATCCCAGGCTTTGGGAGGCCAAGGCAGGAGGATTACTTGAGCCCAGGAGTTTGAGACCAGCCTGGGAAACAAAGCAAGACCCTGTTTCTACAAAAAAAATTAAACAATTAGCCATGCATGATGGCATATACTTGTAGTTCTAGCTACTTGGGAGGCTGAGACAGGAGAATCACTTGAGGCCAGGCATTCGAGACCAGCCTGGGCAACATAGTGAAATACTGCCTTTCAAGTCAGGTGTGATGGTATGCGCCACACACACTACTACTCAGGAGGCTGAGTTGGGAGGATTGCTTGAACCCAGGAGTTCAAGGCTGCAGCGAGCTATGACTGGCCATTGCACTTTAGCCTGGACAACAGAGTGAGACCTCATCTCTAAAATAACAAAAAGAAAAGAAAACGAATAACACACCATACCCACCACCAAATTTAGTGTGAGAGATAAGCATTTATTTATTTTGCATCAGTTTCACTCTCACCCAGGTGGTGACACAGCTCGTGCAGCCTTGACCAGCTGGGCTCAGGCAATCCTTCCACCTCAGCCTTCCAAGTAGCTGGAACTACACACACGTGCCACCACACCCAGCTAATTTTTTGATTTATTGTAGAGATGAGATCTTGCCAAGTTGCCTGGGCTGGTCTCAAACCCTTGGGCTTAGGCAATCCTCTCGCCTCCACCTCTCACAGTGCTGAGATTAAAGGTGTGAGCCACGTCAGCTGGCAGAGATAAGCATTTAAACAGAATTATAGCATTATATAGTAAGGGCTATGATAAGACAGGTTCATCAAAAGGCAGTATTGTAGTGGTCTTCAGATCTAGACAGCCTGGATTTGAATTCCAGTACCACCACAAGCTATTGCTTTGATCTTGGGGAAGTTGCTTAACCTCTTTGTGTCTCAGCTTTCTCATCTGTAAAATGGAGACAGTACTAGTTCCTACTTCATAGGGCATGGCTATGAGGGCAGAGTAAGATAATTCTCATAAAGTGCTTAGCACTCCACAGTTAGACTACAGTAACTGGTAGACAGTATTGGGACTGTAAGTAATAAGGATTAGTACCTGAGCCATTGCCTTGCTAAGCTATGGTGTGGCTATGTGCTCTTTGAGCTGTAGCCAATCCATGTTTTCTTAAACTTTGGCCCCTCCCCTACCTTGGGGAGGTGAATTTCCTCTTTATTTCTGTCTAATTTACTTTCAAAATAAACTATATATACTAAAAAAAAAAAAAGATTAGTGCCCAAAACCCCAGTCTCTTGAATTCCATGTCAGGAATTCTTTCGGGCCTCTTCAGGGCCACACAGAAGAGCTGTGGGACTCAGCTGCATTTTCCCCTCTCCCTTCCATTAAGAGATTTCAGCTTCACTTTGGAGCCATCACTGGCTGCTGACTCTTCTATGTGTTAGGCACTCTTCAGAATCCACAATTCTTAGTTCCATTCCCAAACTTCAGGGCCTTGAAATGCAGGCAAGAAGCTGAATCCCAAAGCAGACTTTCCTCTGTACCCTGAGCCATGCTTCCAGAGCTGCTGATAATTGCCTCACTAGGGTCAGTCATATCGTTATGACTTTCTCCCCAACTTTTCATTTTGAACTCAGAGCTTGCTGCCATGGAGTGGACTCAGAAGACTGAAACTTGTTCTTTCTTGTGGGAAAAAAACAGCATGATGTAGGACACCAGTTGTGAAAGCTCCTGCCAGGCCACCCAGGGGGTGTAAACATATCTGTGGCTGAGAACTCATGCCTGTGGCTGACAATCTTCAGCCCACTCTACTGTGCAAGTGAAATCAATTGGGAGGTGACCCAGCTGCTGCTTTCCAAGGCCATGGGTGCCTGGGGACAAGACTTTCTCCACCTAGCTTGGGCAAATGAGAACAACACTAAGACCACAATGAGGATGCCCATCTGATTTCCTACAGGGTGCCAACCATCTTTACCTGACCAGGTGAAAAGGAAATAACTATTTATTAGTTCTGCTGTGATTGTCTTGCCTCCCTCACAGTAAACAGAGCATTTGCTTCTGGAAATAGAAAAGGCCAAAGTCTCAGGGGAGCATATTCTTCTTTGAACCTCTTTATTATTAATCTAAAGTTGTTGGACCAACAGGCTATGAAGCATTAAAGGAAGCTGGGCAGGCACTAATTACCAATGCAGAAGAACAGGTTTGGCAGGGTGAGTTTAAATAACTCCTTACTGAAAAGGAGGTATTACTCACTCCTGAAATGCCTTTTCTTAGATAGATAGAATATTTTCTCTGAGCCCATTTTATTACCAGAGGAAGCCTTCAGTCTGACTCTAGGGGTGCCAAGCTGGAAACAGAACATAAGTGGCTCCTATTTGGCTTAGTACTCCAGGAGGACCTGAGACTGTGGTTGGGAGTGAGACACACACACACACACACACACACACACACACACACACACACACACTCTGATGCCCTAGGGCATGCTGTCTTTGGTAGTTTGGCTTTTACTGGTAGAGAGGGGAAACTAACATCTATTAAGTACTTAGTTTGTATGAGCACTAGATAACATTATTTCATTACATTATCTGGTAGAAACTGAGATCAAACAGGTGACATAATCTGAAAAAACTCACACAGTACATGGAAGAAACAGGACTTGACCCCAGTCAGTCTCGTGCTTACCCTCTTTCCATTGAACACACTGCCTGTGCATCTGGGACCTTCAAAATCTTGGCACAAGTGTAACCTGCTCCCAGTATTTCCCTTGCCTGGATAAGTGAGCCTCGGTTTCTCAGATAGGTACTTCAAATCATCAAAATGTAGCCCCCAGCTGGAAGGTCTTCCACTTACAAGGAACAACTCCACTATGAGGTGCATCTTATTGTATGTAAACTATACCCCAATAAGCCTTACTTTTTATTTACTTACCTTTTTTTAAAACTTGTCAAGTGCAGTAGTGAGAAGGGGGAAAGAATAGAACAATGAGTTTGAGCTATAACACTGTGAGCAGTCAACTGAGATGACTCACTACTTCTAGACCAACATAACTTCTTTTTATTTTTTGAGGTTGAGTTTGAGTCTCACTCTGTCGCCCAGGTTGGAGTACAGTGGCATGCTCATGGCCACCACAGCCTTGACCTGCTGGGCTCAGGCGATCCTTCCACTTCGGCCTTCTGAGTCGCTGGAACTACAGGTGTATGCCATCACAACCAGCTAATTTTTAAAAAATTTATTATTATTAGGGTCATCTTGCTGGGCCTTCAAAATAACTTAGGGTCACACTCTCCCAGCAGGACTTCCACAATGTTAGGTCAAGCCCACTGAGGGCGTGGGTGTCTGGGGTGCAATCCGATGCTGCATGAAAGATGCAAAGAACTGCAGAAGTTACATTAGAAAATATAGTTTATTTAAAAGTAAATTAGAGAGAGAGATACAGAGAAGATTTACCTCCCCA